ACAGTTATTAGTTAAAATCGTCAAGTATTCTAACATACTTGACGGTTACTTTTGGAACCGTCAAGTATTAAAGAATACTTGACGATTTTTCAAAAATAACAGTCAAGTATGTTTCATAATACTTGACGGTTACTTTTGGAACCATCAAGTATACTCCCAAAATAATTGACGGTTTTTCTTTAATAACCGTCAAGTATTCAGAACTTAGTTTATGGTTTTTCTGAAAAACCGTCAATTGTTTGAATAATAATTGACGGTTTTTTCTTTAAAACCGTCAAATATGATTTAAATATTTGACAGTTAATAACCGTCAAATATTTGCTATTGAAATATATGACGCCAGTATAGTTGACGGTTTTTAACTGTCAAATATGATCCAAAATAACCGCCAAGTATTTTTCATTTTGTAGTAGTGAGTGTGCCATATGACATGGAGGAAATCAACTTGATAAGGGATACTTTGTTAACAACATTGCTAGAGAATTTTGAAAATGTGAAATAGTTAAGTTATTCATCACATTTTAGCTTATTGTTAGATTATTAATTAGTTAAGTAGTTGTTGATTATAATGTATAGGTGATTGAATAAGAATTGGATGTTAGTGTTAGGATAAACGTCTTGAAATGGTTCTGCATATTCTCCTGCTTTGTTGGTTATATTTGGGTTTGTAAATTGTAGGGAGGTTTATTAAGAAAATTGACACAGTATGTAGAAAAAGAAATTGTTGTTTTTAACTGCAATTATTTTGAAGAGAAAACCACCGTGAAAAGTTTACTTTTCATGGTGTTTTAAGTAAAAGAACAGCCATGGAAAGTTATTTTTCATGGCAATTATAAACTACCATGTTTTATTCTCCTTACAACGTTGATGGAATTCACTTTGCCTCCAAAACCACTATGGAAAGCTCATTTTAACTGCCATTTAGCAAACGAGAAGTTTGGATAGGATCCAATAGGATCTCTCCCTTTCAAAATTGGATGTGAAAGTTTACTCTCATCTGACTCAAGTAGTTACATCAAATAAAGAGAAGTTCTCACTTTCAAATTCTATAAAACCCTTAAAAGTTCTACCTTTTACTCAAGTTCTCAATAAAGAACAAGCAACATTTTTAAAGGTTTTTTTTCTAGTGGTGATATTATCATACATCATAACCAAAAGAAAGCTACAAATTTTTTTGCATAACAATAGATCTGCAGTTGCAATGGCAATGAACCCAGCCTTCCATGAAAGAACCAAGCATATTGATGTACAACATTACTTCATTCGACTACTTGTAGCTGATGAAAAAATTGAGTTGAAATTTTGCGGCACAAATGAGCAAGCAGCTAATATTTTCACATGGTCCCTTCCTTAAGCCAACCATAAGTTCTTCATATTACTATTGGGAATAAGTGATAAGTCAGAAATTTTGAATTAATTTTCCTTGCCTTTTCCTCTATCCTTTTATTCACCGACTCCATTTATTTTTCTCTTTTACCAACAATAATGTGTCCATAGTAGATCAAATTGAGGGATTGTAATGTCAAGCTATGGCTTCATATTCCCACTGCTATGTCATTAACCTCGTATGCATTACTAAAAAAAGCAATAAGGATGATTAGTAACAATATGTCACATATTGATAGTCTAAAAAAAAGAATACATGGATAATTAAAACTTCCAAACTACTATGTGAACAAGTACATTAGTAGTAAAACATTAAGAGATCAGCAATAAACTATTCAAAATTAGAGAAATGCTCAGTAACTAAAACCACTTAAGTAAGAAGAAATCACAAAGAAGAACACAAAAACACCATAGTAATATGTAGAAAGACAAGAAAACAAACCATATATCTAATAGTGCCATGAATCAAGTAGCCTTGTTCAAGAAGAGACTCATGAGCCATGGTCTGTTATACCCTATTCAACCATGAGAGGGGAAGATGCTAATGTCATACAATATCTTCTTCCTCTTCAATTTATGAGAGACAGAGGGTATCTTCGTGCTCTCAATCGGTGATAAAAGATTATGCCAAAAAGGATGGGAGCATTAGACTTATTCCAGTTAGTCAATGAAAATTGATCGATGGGATCTACAAAATGAAGAGCAAACTTGATGCCAAAAAAGATAGGAGCTTTGGACTTGCTTCAATCAGTCAACAAAATTCGATCGATGGGATAGTGGATTCTATAAAATGAAGAGCAAACTTACTCAAAACCAATGGCTTTAATTAAAAACATATGTGTAGTTGAGATTTTATTTGATGGGCAAAAAACGACATCATTTGGAAGAAAAGGATGGCAGCAAATGGCAAAGGTATAGGAGAGAAGCTAGGTCCTTGTACCACACACAAAATAAGCTTGAAAACACATTGCCTAAGAATAACCAATTCAAAAATGTGTTCCCTTAGAAGAAACTAATGGTTTATTATATTCTCCATTAACTAGTGCTTGAAGCAACTAAATATACATTTTTTGTATATGGTTTAATTTTAATTTCCCTTATAGAGCTCACATAACTATAATATAATGTCTCATCTTTTCTTCACTGATGACCTTATTCTTTTCAACACAACTACTCCAAGCCAACTATCTTTATTTTAGCGAGTCCTTTCATACCTTTTTTTATCTCCTCGGAGCAAAAATTTGTTGAAGCAAAGACTAAGATCTTTTTCTCTAGAAACATTACCGAACATGACACTAACCTCATTTGCATAAAGTTGGGCTACCATCACAAATAATCGAGGTAGATACTTGGGAGTACCCCTGTTGTACTAATGGGTAACCAAGACGACCTATTAATACATTGAATAACGCATTCAGAGGAGATTAGTAAGGTAGAAGGCTCAATTTCTTTCCTTACCGGGCCAGATCACACTCACACAATCTATGTTGTCAACTATTTAACTATACACCAAAGTCCAAAGTTTAATGTGTAGTTTCATTTAGTGCTCCACCAATACTCATAAGAAGGTGCATTTGATAAGCTAGAATGCTAGTTATCAACCAAAAGACAAGGGTTCATGTGGTCTTGAGAACATTACAGGCCATAATACAACCTTTCTCTTGAAATTAGTGCATTCAATGATTCAATCATCACTCAACTAGGTTTATTTTGGGTCTAAATTATAATAGAGAAATATGGCTGGAAAGTTCATTCCCAAGCATCAATCCTCATAATGCTTCCTATTTGTGGCATAATCTAGCCTAGATTTGGAGCAAAATAGATATCAAAATGGTTTGGAAACTAGATGATGGTACGTAAGTCCTATTTTGGGAAGATAATATTGAGGAATCTAGCTTATGTCCCATTAGATGAAAGTAAATTGTAGAAAACTGTGCATCAATTTGTTACAGATGAAGGACAGTGAAAATGGGGTGAATTTGAAACAAGCCTCCTAGAGGATACTATACAGCATACAACCCAGGTTAAGCCTCCCAACTCGGAAGATTCACCAACACAGAGAAGATGGATCAATGATAAGTCTAAAGACTTTTCAGTCTGATTAGCTTACCAAGCTATTATGGAGGAAGACTAGAATGATACAAGTCATATTTGGAACCTAGCTTGGAAGTGGCTAGGAGCTTAAAGGGTGAGAACCTTTCTATGGCTTGTCCTGAATAAACAATTGCTCACAAAACAAGGAGAGAATGTGCAGGAGAATAGCTCCTAGTGATAGATGTGACATATACAAAGAAGAGATAGAAGATTTAAATCATGTACTAAGATCTTGTAAACTAGCATCCTTATGTTGGGATCTTATTCTTCTCACTCAATTTTACTCTATATCTTTTGACAGCTGGTTCACAAGAAATCTTACAGCCAACAAGCTCAACCCCACTTGGCAAGTCACCTTTGGGTTGTTGTGCTGGAAACTCTGGATTGCTCGAAACTGTCGCCTCTTTTATAATGTGGCAAACATCATCTTATCAAGACTATGCATTGGACCTTATGATAGAGTCCTTAAGCCGCCTAGGCCCCACTACATTGATTGGTAGAAAGGAAAAACCTCTTGGGTATATATTATGGAGAAAACATACTCTTAATGTTTCGCTTTCCAAGCACAATACCATCTAATATTATTTTTTAGTTATATCTCAAATCATAATCTTATTTATAACTTAAAATGATGGGTGCGTTATGAATAAAACCATGGTGTTGGAAGTACTAAAAAATAATATCAAGATGCTATATGCATAATAAATAAGATTAGAATATTAAATGCACCGAGAAATAACATTACCCACATTTTATTCATCAAATATTAATCAATGATTACTTTGCATCTCAACTTAATTATATTTTAATTAAATTACAATTGATTAATTTAGATTTTATTTCATCCAAATCTTTTATTTTTTATTTAATTACAACAGCAATAAAATGTTAAAAATATTCTAACTATTCATTTATTAAAAATAATTTTTAGCTGAAAAATTAAAATAAAAACCTTAAACCTTAGCATGCATCAAAGAGAGATTATAACTGCAAATCTCATGGAAAGTCATACACACACAACCTTGGATCCTTAATATAAGAGTTAGTTAAGAATTGAATTTAATCCTAAATATAAGACTTCAATTCACTTTGTTTATCATTTTTTTTTCAAAATATTCCTATTAATTACAAGGATTCCTACTAAGAAATAATTCTAACTATCCAATATACATGATTGAAAAGAATAGTTTAAGGAGATCAACACATATTTGTAACAAATAATTAACCTAACTAATTTTATTAATTTATCTAAATTATTTATTTAACTTTTATATTAAGTATCGGAGATAGTACTGTATATATTAGTAGAGTAACTTTTCAAATGTGTTAGTTGAAACTTCCTCTTCACCAACGTTGAAGCTCCTCCATTCACTGACCATGATTGATTGATTGATCAAGTCGGTTCATTATTGCATCAAAATGTCATTTTGAAAGATCAAAAGTCGCTAATATCATTTTGAAAGGTCAAAAGTCGCTAATATTTTCCTCTTTCACTCTCTTAAACTTATCTATATAACAAGATCACAGCATGTTCAATCTCAACATCTTTAAATAATCCTTCGTCAGGTTGAGGAGATACCCCTCATAACATGGGCATCAAACTTAGATTCGTAGAGCAGTACGTCGTGGCAGCGGCAATACTATTGGCGGTGGTGATAGTGTTATTGGGCGGAGGAGCTGAAGGGGTTGTGTTATGCAACACGGACACGACGAAGATGAGCTTGTGCCGTCCGGCAGTCACCGGGAAGAACCCTCCGCCGCCGACGGAGGCGTGTTGTGCGGTTGCTCGGCATGCCGATCTGGCCTGCCTCTGCAAGTACAAGTCGGTGCTTCCTGCACTTGGGATTGACCCCAAAAGGGCTATTGCTTTGCCTGCTAAGTGTGGTCGCACCACTCCCCCACAGTGTAAAGGTAATCCATCGTTTTTTAAAATCAAACTCTTTATTCAATTACTTTGTTTAATTATTTGTGAAAGTCCTTATTTACATTTTTTATTGGTCTTGTAGCTTTTATTATTCTTGTGATTCATTAATTAGAACTGATTTGAATGTTACTAATTAGTCACAAAATACAAAATATTTTTTTAAAAATAGAATGATGGAATAAAATCATATATTATTAACGTAAAAATAAAAACAATTACACTCATAATCATCTCCTTATATCTATATATAATCTTTAATTTGGTTTGTTTTGATTTACTTAAATTTATGTTAAAAAATGTCTAGATGTGTACAAAGCGAAACTCAATCTGGTTTTTATTGCAAATTAATATGTTACGAGAATGAGGATCAATGCGTATAATTGAGAAAATTATAAGCATTCAATAAAAAGAAAAAATTACAAACACTTAATTAAAAATATGATTAATTTGTAGGGATTTGTATATTATTTTTTTAATTATTTAAGTTAACAAGTTTTCTCAGAAATATGAATCAGGAAACAATAAAAAAAATTCCTGTTCATATTGATATTGATTGATTTTAATAGTTGAGTGTTGGCCAATTATGTGAAAACTTTTTTATATGATTATATTAAATTCAAATTTACTTTAACCTTTCGTTTTTTTTTTTTTTAAAAACCAAAACTTTAAGCTTTTCCATTTAACTGTAGTCTGTAGATTCACTTTTGCTTTCATTGAATGCCTATTTATTTAGTATATTACTACTCGTTCTGTCGTTCATATTTGAAATTGGTAAATTTTAAAATTATTAAAATAGATCCAACTATTTTTTTTTTTTTGCCAACTCAACTAATTTCTTTTAAGACACTGGCTAAATGTTTTTTCCATTCAGTTTATGGAATTTTAAAAATAAATTTATTATCTATAATAGATGAAGTGTACGTTTTGTTATGAAAAATAAATTTATATTAAATATAGTAATATTGAGCTATTGATTTTATGAGTTAAGTTGGTCGATCTTTTAAAAAAATTATATAAACATATTTACTAAGATATATTTATTTTACATTTTTTGGATTGTAGGTTGACCGACTCATGCATATAATGAATGACCATGGTTTTAATTTCATCTACTCTGTTTTAGATTTTACTTCTCTCTTGTTTTTTTCCCCCGTATTGCGTCCCGTGCACTGACTTTCCGTCTTGTTTAATCTGCATGCGAGTTGGGCTAAGTTCCAGTCGACGCCTGAAATGAGAGAAACTTCCAAATTTCCAATCAACTCCATTCGTTCTAAATATAACATTCATCTAGTACCATATAGAAGTTAATCAGCTTTATCCTAAACCAAATCAGATGTATATAAGTCTTTTTTTTATTATTATAATATATGTTATACGATATGAAACTAAAAAGAAAAAAATGGCAGGATAATTTATATATATCAACCGAGAAAATCAACTTTTCATTTTATCTCTTATTTTTATCTACTTTTAAATTAATTTATTTAACTTATAAATTGATATATAATACTCCCCTAATCTTTAATATAGAATCCAATTGTGAGTGGGTCTTAGTTCTAAATGTAAAACATATTTCTTATATTTATCAATTTTATTCAAATTATCTTTATTAATACTTCCTTAACCATAATAAAGTAAAAAATAGATAGAGGATGTTAAGGAAGATTAGGTAAAATTACTAAAAAGTCCCAAAAAAGAAATTTGATTACTAAAAAGTCCTAATAACAAGTGATCAGTCTGAACCTGTTGTCATTCCCTACTCTAAAACTTGTCATTACTTACTCTTTACTTACCGATGGATTTTAGGGTAATTAAATCTCATTCTTGAGAGCTAAATGTAATTTGGCAGGAAGATTATTAAAACATTTTAGGAAAAACATGTTATATTTATTATAATTAATTAATTTACTTAAATTTTTTAATATAATCAAATTAGTTAAATAAGTTTTATTTGGTTACACATTTTAGAGGGGAGGAGACCCCAAACCTCCCCTCCTTTACCCCCTGTTTTGGCTTTCCTCCAAATTCATGGTTTTTGGAAGGAATTCAAAATCTTAGACTATTTTTTCCTCATGTCTTTTGTGATATTCCTTTAATGCTTATGAAGAAAAAAATTATAAAATTAATTTTAAATAAAAAAATTAAATTCAAAACTATATTATTATAAATTAATTGTAAATAAAAAATATATTATTTTAAATAAAAAATAATGCTACATTAATCAACATTAAGGCGTAAATTAATTTATATAGTATAAGTAAGTCATTATCATCCCTCTCCTCCCTTTCCTCCAACTAAACCAAACAATGCTCACATGTTGATCTAACGATTAAAGATTTGTTAAATTTTGGTATGGATAGTTTAACATTGAAATAAAATAAGTAAATAATATTTTATATAAAACCAAATATGAACCATTCAAATGCTGATCTAATGATTAAAGAAGGAAAGCGAGGGAAGACTATAGAAAGAGAAAAGGAGACATTCATTACCCGATAGTTATCCAACTCTTACATTTATGACCAAAGGAAGTAAGTTTATCTTTTCATTTCCAATGCTCAAGATCAAAACTTGATTAGGACATTTTAAGCTCCTTGTCAATCATTATTAATGGTTTTGTGCAAAAGGAAAAAAAAATCGCTATTGATGATGACTCTTGCTTTTATATTGTTGCAGGGAATTGAAGGTGTCTTAGCCGATACTCATTCAAGCATCGTCTTAATTAGCACGCCTTTAAAAGTTTCATTACCATTAAAGAAGTTTGGGGACTGGATAATCCGCCCCTTCTCTTAAATAAAATACTGTTAATCTCTTCATTTTCTTCCAATTTATATTATGGGCAAGACTTCTGATATGATATAACGGGTGTAAAATTTATATTGTTATCTAATGTAATAGAAAGGTATTGATATGCTTATACTGTTTGCCATAGAAATATAATGATGATATCGAAATAATTATTTTTGCCCGTTATTGGTTAAATTTGCGAATGGATGCCTGTTCATATGAAGATCGTTAAAACTTGACACGGCCAATTCACATTTCATATATAGCTCATTGTCTGCTTGTAAAAATAGTACTACCTCCAATCCTAAATATAAGAGCTAGTTAGAGAGTTAGATTTGATCTTAAATATAAAATCTCAATTCACTTTTTTTATTTTATAATTTTTTTCCAAAAATATCCCAATTAAATGTAAAGGATTTTACCAAAACTTAGTTTACAAGCGCTAGTTTAACACATGCACGTTAGATGGAAGGTAGTGTTTTTAGTGTTAACGCAAGCTATTAAGGAGAGTGATAGAACCCTATCTTTATATGATTTTTTAAGTGTTTTCTGATGTTTTGCAACACTTTTACCCTCATCATGCATGCATATATATCCATTTGATTACATTGATTCATGCATTGCATTTTGCTGTTTAAGGGGTAAAAAAGAGGTCAATTTTCTCTCCTTAATTCTAATTGCCTTGATCTGTAATTAGTTAGTCTTTATAAAGCTCTTTGTTGTGATTTTTCAGGCAATTAGAGGAGGACCTAAGACTCAAGATGGAGCATTGATGGAGCCACAAAGTTATAAGGACCAAAACGCAAGATTTGGAGTGTTCTGCCTCCCCTGGCCAGGACATGGACTGATGAAGTCATGACCTGGATGCCTTTTTAGCGAAACGATGCGTTTTGGAGCTAGGTCAAGACTAAATGCTCTCTGTCTTCCCAGGTCATGACATGAGATTTTGAGGTCACGAGCTCGGCCCCCAAGTCACAACCTGATACTTTTGAGGTCGTGACCTGAGCGCATTAAGTAAAGCTACGTGTTTTGGAATAGGTTTCTCAGCTTCTACACCCAAGGGGATAGCCACCACGAAGGGGGACTTCTCTATTCTGCAGATTTGCATGGGGATGAGCCTCCATTAATTGCTCTCAAGCTTCTATTGATCATAGATCTCAAACCTTCATTTTTCCTCACTTATTCATCATTTTCTACAATTTTGAACCGATTAAACAACTCCAACCATTTTCTTCTCCATTTTTCCAACCCCATTTTTAGCATCACTCATGGCTGTTCATACCTAGAGTGATTGTGATCAGTTTGAAGACATGAGAGGCTAAATCTTTAGCCTCTTGGTGATAGAAGACAAAGCTTGAGCTCAAGGATTTAATAGGGGAGTCATTAGTCTAAATTTATGCTTAATTTTGTGTTGAAGATTTCTAGATTTAGAGATTTTTGCACTTGTGTAAGACTTGGTTTATGATTGTAAATCTTGTGTTTAGACTACTGAAATGTGTTTGGATTGGATGCTTTTTATTGTTGGATCATTTATATAAATATATCAATTTTGAATCCTTGTGTTCAATTGATTGTCAGTTATTATTGATGATTAATCTGTATGCTTGATATTCTATAATTGTTGATTAACAGTCTGAGGACATTTGCATCATCCATTCATTTACGCTCTAGGTGCATTTCAACAATGTTTTAAGATATGTTAATTAAGTTTAATTAAAGTGAGTTTGCATTAATTAAAACATTGGGCCCAAGTGATTACTTGGGGTTTTTCTTCAGACTTAGAGATTTCCAAAACTGCCAATCAATTTAAGAGCAATGATAGCTGAGTTTTCATCATTAAGAGACTATTTCACCATAATTTTCCTTTAATCCAAACCATTTCTTTATTCATTCAAAAATACCAAAATTATTTATTTCTTTGCATCTTATATTTATTGCACCAGTCTTTGAACAATTAAACCCTATTGTCTTTACCCAAATCATTATGTTTTTGGAAATCAATTTAATCTAGGTTGTTTTCCAGTAAAGATCTGCTGGAGAAGAACGATTGGTTGTGCCCTATACTGCATTATCTAGTGCAATCACAATCTTGATGACCCGGAAGGCGACATTCCAGTCTAATCAGAGAGATTGACAGGAAAAATGGGAACAAATATTTCAGGGAGAAATGATAGAATATAGGAATTAAAATATTTTAGGAATAGCTTACCACAAGAGAGAGCTTTAATTTATTTACATTATCTTTTATGCAAGTGTCAAGATATTTTGTTATAGGTTTTCTCATTAGGCAAAAACATTGCAAGTGGACATTTTTTTAATTATTAACAAGTTGGTGTTTCTTTAACATCTTGTTTGGTTTGAGGGAAGGGTAGGATAGAGAAGGTTGGGGAGATTTTAAACTCAACTTATTTGGTTTGATTTAGAAGAGAGGAAGAGATATTTAATGATGCCTTGTTTGATTCAAGAGAGGGAGAAGAGGAATAGTAATAACCAATTTACCATTTCATACTTGTGTGTTAGTTTATATGTTTATTTATATATTATTTAAATTAATTTACATCTTAATATTCAGTCTTATCATATTAATATGTGTATTTTAAAATTGGTATAGTAATTTTTTATTCTAATTAATTAATAATACATGTTACATAATTAAATTAACAAATTCTACATGCTCTAAAACATGAATTTTTTTTCTCTTTCGGTTATGCTTTTTCTTCTCAACTTTAAAATATATTTTAATTAATAAAATAATATATTTGTGAAAAATAATTAATTTTACAATAATATAATTTTTTATTGTAATAATATTTTTATTTTAAATTAATCATTATTATAATATATTTTTAATTATAATAATATACTTTTATTTGAAACAAATTTTATAATACTATGTTTTATAGGCATTAATGAAATAGTACGAAAAATGTCAAGAAAAATGTCAAATTTTAGCTCCCCTCCAAAAAATCCCAATTTTAGGAGAGCTAAATTAAAGATAGCAGAGGAAGAGGAAGCGAGATTTTAGAGGATAAGGGAGTTTTTGGCTCCCTTCCCTTAAAAAATTTCTAACCAAATAAGGGAAGGGACTCATTTTTCCTCTCCTCCCTCACCCTCACCTCTAACCAAACAAACCATGAGAGAAGGAAGTTTTAGCCTACAAATAGCTCTTTTGTAGTTTGAGAAAGACTTTGATGGATGAATATTTTGTGAGCCATGTGATTCTCTCCCTCCAACCTCCATTCTCTTTGCCTTTTTTTTTTTCCCCTAATTCTCTCTTTTTCTGCCCCCTTTTTGTTCATCTCTTTCCCTCTCCTATCTCTATTTCTAGTTTTTTTCTGTAAACCCATTGAATTATGCAATATATTTGAGTATGCGTGAGTGTGTTACATTAATTTGGTATTAAAGCCAAGCTTTGCACACCCCTTTGTTGTTTTCATCAAAAGAAAACCTAGAAAACTCACCAAAAAAATCTTTGAGCCATCTATTTCACGCTGCTAGAGTCAAGACCATAGTTCTCAATAGCAAACCTCCAAACCACCACCACTATCATTTTCGTAGCCCTGTCTTACTAGACCCCAAAACCTTGTCATCATCTATTGCTATATGTGAAACATCCCTCCTTAAATCCTCTTTAGTATGCATTCAGAAGTGTTACAATACAAGTGGATCACAAAACAAGCCTGTGGATTAAAAATTTGCAATTAGCTCTTGAGTTACTATTCATTGGTTAAATTCTAGATTTTTTATCCAAATTTAAAAAATCATAACTAATTATAAAAAAATTCTATTGAGGTGATTCAAAATTATATTTTAAGTTCTTTCAATTCTCTACAGGGAAAAAATATAAAACTAGGCTTAATCCTTACCAATTAGTACAATTTATTCATGAAAGTTTACTGTTTATTTGGTAAAAACTATACTTTTCAGTTTTTTTGTCCCAAATTTGATCAAGCATAATTCTTGATACACACATTCATTTTATGTAATCTACCACTTATTTTAAAGCTTAAGATGTGTACTTTAAGAATACCAAATCTCTTGGGCAAAATCAATTGTCTGCCTCACTTCTATTCTGTCACTATTTTGTGACTCAATTAGGGGTAACTTATCCCCCTAACTTGAATTAACAATTCATGATTAATTCTTCCATGCATAATACCATTCCATTCATGTATTAACCATTCCCATACATTATCTCATTCAATCATACATGTCAATATCATCATATATTAATGCATACCGTCCATAACTTATTTGTGAATATGTCATCATATCATATTACATAGCATAATGTAATATTTGTTTCTATCTTCTTCTCTTCATTCTTGCACTTCTACTTCTTGGTTTCTCCTTCCATGGTCTTGTCACCTATTATGGTTTGTTAAGGGAGGATGAAATTCTGGAGAATCTTAGTAGCAAATATTACCGTTTATGCATGCAATATTGATGTAAGTGTATAACATGCTTACTTGATCTAACTCATGCTTACTTATATCACATTATTATACTCAATGTTTCATATTAACATACATGGCCATGAAAAACATTAAAAAAAATAGAGCATTCATCTCATATAATCATCAAACAACATTGTACACATCAACACACAAGCATACACATCAAACACATAAGAAAGGTAAGTTCACTACCTTTTATCCTTAAGCTTTCTTCTTATTCCCTTTACTTTCCAACCACCAAGATTGCTTGAACAATCTTGCCATTGCTCTTTCTTGGTGGCTAATAGCCCTAGAATCACAATATGCATTAATAACCAATCTATTAAGACCATGAAAAACTATTAACTATCTTAACTCTTAAACTTGTTCTTCTTTAACCTTAAATTTCACTTTCTTTTTCATATCCTTTAAAATCACCCCTTTAGTCTTTTTCTACACAATTGTTTATAAGATATCCAAATATGAGCTTAGATTTAACAAAATCCAACTCCTTTCCCCATTTCTTTCCTTGGCTGAATAGTATGTACTTATGGTCTAAAAATTCCATTTTCAATACTAATGCTTCCAAAACTTGTTTTCTAACTTTTACCCTACACAGTTTTTTATTCTAAACTCACTGAAAGTATCAAAATCATAAAAATCCAACCCTAAGGCATAGAATGCAGCTTGACCAAACAGTCTCCTCAAGTTACACAATCATAAAATTCAACCAATTT